GCCAGTTATTCAGCGAGGTCATTCTCTCCACAAAGTCACAATATTTATTTTAACGCCAGTGACTATTGAGTGTGTGTGTGTATATCTATGTAGTGATAAAACACTGTCGTAATATGTACACAAGATCTGAACAAGATCAATTCATCAGGACAATCATGCAGCCTACATATGAGAGAGGTTGTTTATGCAGTGGGCTGATAGAATACCATGATACAAGCCACAGAGAAGCACTGTCTAATGTTCATAATGCATGCTATATATTTCACAATATGGGCATTATATAAATAATTAATAGTGTGGACTAGAGATAGCACTGATAGGAAGGAGAGAGACAGCATGCAAGAAAGTCTTCTCGAATACTCCACTCTACCGAGTGGGGTAGGATGTTTCACCAAGCACATCAATGTTTTAGAGATTCTTTTTATCAAGCATTGTCTTGTGGAATGGCGAGTTTTTCTTCTCAGTGACTGCTAGTTGTACACATACAATTTTGAAGTATTTTATTTGTAAGCTTAGAAAAAACTGTTTCCACTGTTTATGTGTATGAAAGTCAATGTAGAAAGATTGCCCCATGAAACAGGACAATAAAATGCAACCGTTTGAACTGCTTAGATGCCAGTGTTTTTCTCAGAAATGTTATATTCAGGAATACAGTAAGCTTAATTGGCAAGATATTGACTAGGCTATATGTAATTTATCTTTCAACCATTACTAAGTGTTTCCCCAAGTACTCTGTTGTCTACCTTGAGAGGAGCACTATACTGATGAGCACGAGCTCAGGTCCCCAAGGATGTCTCTTTTCCCTAATACATATGTATTAATTCCCATTAACCTCATTTAGAGTAAGGAGTAATGTGGGTATGAAAAGGAGGCCAGACAGCCAGATGGCCGTGAGTGTCTGTTACGGTATATGAGTAACTCTTCCCATTATTCAGCCTTTATTTACCCAATGAATTCACATGGTGAGTAACACATTTTTGAGGACTAGTTTGCTTTCTTCCAGGATGACTGACAAAGACATGAACTCCTCATACCCTTTCCTAGAGCTAGAAGTTACAAAAGCTGTGAAAGACACTGAGAAAAGGTAATTCTCCAAGTGAAGGCAGTCATTTACTGCGGGAAAGTGCACCAGAGGAGCATTTGTGAAAGTGCAGGCCAGCGATAGCCCAGTGAGCTTCTCTACCCGAAGGGAGAGGCCCGTGAATCATGGCTGCTCCCTGTCCATCAACACCCTGCCTCACCCCAACCACTTAGATCTCAGTGGAAACTAGAAGAAAACCAAACAGCTATTTATACATTTCTTTTTGAAGTACTAAAACTCAGCGGTGGCATCAATTGACTTCTCTCTTCAACTCTCAACCCTAGAAGAATAAAAAAGAGGAGTCAGCTGATGGCCTTCTCTGAGGCTAACCCAAAGGGTTAAGGAGACTGCTGGCCTCACCCCTCTGCCTTTAGGTGTTCAGGGAACACAGCTCCAGGGCTCCAGGATTTGCGGTGATCATTTAGGTCCTCTGATTAGAGACAGGGTTGGAGTCTCTTCAGTAAAATCAGTGTGTCCAGCTTCTATAAAAAGTATTATTGCAGTCCTTTGAACAAGAAAAAAATCCCTCAAATTTTAATCTAAACAATAAAGCAAAGAACTTTAAGGTACATCTCAAAGTGGTGTTAAAAAGCCAAGAAGTGCTTTGATTAGAGTACTCAAATCAAGGACTTTCTAAACCATATTTATAGCTTTCTTAACCTACACTCTATGCATAGATGCATATTTTACCCCCAGCCGGCTAGAGATTTATTTGTTGGAAATGCTGTATAGATTTGGTTTTTCTTTCTTTACTTATCCTGGTTTGGATTTTTTTTTGAATGGCTTTATGCTGTTTTAGCAATATGAGAATAATCCTCTGTAGGCTGAGCTACCCCTCTCCTGCTGTAGCTATGTGGCCCGTGCTGTCACCGGACACAGGACAGTGGCATCTCTGTTGCATTCCCATTGGACTCATGCACCTCCCGGATGGTTTTTGTTTTTGGGGGAGCTTCTTTGGGGTTTGTTTGTCTGCTTTTCCAGAGTGTGGAAAGTCTACAGTGCAAAAAGACTTTAACCTGCCAGTTGATTTGAAATACTTTCCCCTGCGCAGGGCTGTGTGCATCCTCCCAAGCTGCATTAATAAAGAAGTTTGCTTTTCATTTACCAAAGATTAAAAAAAAAAAAAAAAAAAGAAGCCAAGAAGTGCTAAGAAGTTGCGGTGGTGTTAAGAAGCCAAGAAGATGGGGGCCAACTCGGTCAAACGGCACTGTGAGTGCAAGGCAGATGTGGGTGGAAAAGTGTGTTTTGGGATCTTGTTGGCATGAACGATTTCTCTTCCAGAGGAGTGGCTTGGTGGATCCATCTCAGGCTGCGGGTTTTCCAGGTCAGTACAGTGGAGGGAGAGAAGGAAGAGAGCTTTAAGGCTGCTTGTAAAGATGGAGTCAACCAAATTAAGCCATAAAAGGAAGGATAAGAGAACATGGGGCCTGATGGGTAATAGGAGTTAGGGAGTTAGTGAAGTGGCCATCTGTGGGTACCTTTAAAACTCACAATTATCCCACATTGTAACCGGGGATTAAAGAGATTAACTTGCCCAAGGTCATATAGCTAATAAGAAGCAGATTGGAGATTTTAACTTGCTTTGTCTGACTCTAAATCTAGCGCTTCAGGCACCACTATACACATCCACAGACACTGCAGCTTCCCTTCTACCTCTGGGTAATGTGCAAACTCCAGTCTATGTAACTGAAACCAGCAGGGAGAGTTCCAAGTGTGAACCAGGCCAAACTGATCCAACTACAAGACTCAGTCTCCCTTTGGGGTATGCCGATCCCACTGTGAGGTATGATCCTGTCACCCAGAGCATGTCTACAGAGTGTCAAGTAACAGGGTGGCTTAGAAGGTCCACATTTCTTTCTGTTTTAAAAATCTTTCAGCGCTGTGTGCATGCAATCATTTTTAATTATCGTTTTTAGCTCCTAAAAACTATAAATGCATATATATATATATATATATGCTTTGGGATTATAGCCATCTGTTCAAAGTCCTACAGCACCTTCCATATATAAGAAACAAAACTTAAGAAAAACATTTGAAGAAGTCAAGCCAGAATCTGTATTTGCATAAAAAGTCTCTTACTTGCTTGATGAAGGATAGTGAATTATGGAATTATTCAACATCTTCATCCAGGTGTTTTGTTTTTTTTTCCCAGTTAGTAATAGTGTAGCAGCTCAGATATAAGCTAAGATCATTTCAATGGTGACGTGTTACTTTTCTCCTGCTTTGAATATTTAAAGCAAGATTTACAAAGTTGCTTGTTCGTTTGTTTTTGCAGTTCCGTACTTTTTAGTCTTTGGGATGGTCCTCATGGCCAAAGTATTACAGAAGAACCCTGTTTCTCTGTGTAATTGTAAATGCATAAGCTTGTAGCATCTCAGACTTAGAACCACACTGGAAATCTGGTCGGTGTCCCGTGGGGTGCAGGAAGCCTCCAGGCAGGGTTCCTGACAGCAGTCACCAGATCCTTCTCACCCACTTCTGACAACAAACAGCGGAGGCTTAGCCTAGCCCATCTTTTAACTGCTCTAATTACAGCTTCCAGGGAGGAGACAAACCTTTAAGAGGAGGAATGTGTAGTCCTCCTAAACCTAAGTGTCCTCCTTACAGGTCACTTCAGGATGCAACTGAACCCAAATTAACTAAAGATCTAACGTGTTTTCTCTACTCCCAACTGCTCTCCAAGAAATGTCTTCACTTGCAGCTAATACCAGCTAGAAAAGGCAAGAACGCCGGTGGCGCCTTCTCACTGACTCTATCAGAACGCAGATAGACTGTGTGCCCTGGGGGCTGATGTGGACAGGAACACCAGGTCCTCCCTCGTTTATCCTTTATCTGTACTTACTGCACGTTTTTCTGCCATGGACTTTTTATTATTCTGAATTGTGAGTGAGATAATAGTTGGTTTCTCAAAGTGCAAAGGCTAAACCTACTGATAAACTTCAGCTGCTACCAAAGGATAAACGCCACCCAAACTGCCAAAACAATCATGACCTCACTTCCTGCATGGAGTCCTGAATGCTTCACCAGAAGCCCAGAGAACCCAGCAGGCAAGGCTCTGGCACAGGTCACAGGCAGAGATCAATGAGTCATCCAAGCCGTTCCTCGGCCAATTCTTTTAAGGAAGAAAGATATGGATTAAGTTCTTTTGTTCCATCTCCCATATCACTACTTGTGTCTCAGGAGACTTTGCTATCATCAAGCCTTTCAAAGAGATGAGTTTGATTCCCACTGCTCCTACCAAGTAAAATTTACTTGTGTGATTTTCTAAAAGTCTGAGCCAAACATCAAACAACTTAGATGTTCCGATTCTCCCCAACAAATGGGTTTTCAGGTCTGGTGTGAACAAAAACCAACCTCCATTTGGGGCCAGGCACGATGGCCCCCACCTGTAATCCCAGCACTTTGGGAGGCTGAGGCAGGCAGATCACCTGAGGTCAGGAGTTTGAGACCAGCCTGGCCAATATGACGAAACCCCGTCTCTACTAAAAATACAAAAATTAGCTTGGCATGGTGGTGCATGGCTGTAATCCCAGCTACTCAGGAGACTGAGACAGGAGAATTGTTTGAACCCAAAAGGCAGAGGTTGCAATGAGCCAAGATCGTATCACTGCACTCCAGCCTGGTCGGTAGAGTAAGGCTCCGTCTAAACAAACAAACAAACATCTCCATTTGGGGTGTGGTGGTGCATGCCTGTGGTCCCCGCTACTCCGGAGGCTGAGGTGGGAGGATTGTAAGGCCGGTTGCCTCGCAGGGAGCTCGGACACGCCCATCCCTCTCCGCGCCTGAAAACTGCTTCACCAGTCCCCACTCGACATCAAGCCCTGCACTCAGCATCTAGCTCCGCCAGGTAGCTTCCCCAACGCCCACTTCTGCACTCCGCACCCGAATCTGCACTCAACACTAGACTCTGCACTGGGCACCTAGCCCGCTGTTGGAAAACCCCACCAAAATTTGAAAGAAGCCCCGCCAAAACCTGCCCGATAGCATTTTGCCCCATCCAGGTCCCACTCCCCCTGGGCGGCTTGTGTCAGAAATCCCACCTACCTACCAAGAGCAGCTTGCCCCATCGACGTCCTGTTCCCTCATAGCCAATCAAGGCTCCCTCACTCGCTATAAAAACCCCAGGCCTCGCGAAATCAGGCGTGACTTCCCTGGCCCCTTTCCGTGGGACCATGGAACCTCGCCCGGGAGCTGAATAAATTGGCATTTAATTTTCTTATACCGGCCTCAGTTTCCTCATTTTAAGCTCGGCAATAACTCTTACAAGGATCACTTGAGCCCAGGAAGTCGAGGCTGCAGTGAGGCATGATCACGCCACTGCACTCCAGCCTGGATGACAAAGTGAGACCCTGTCTTAAAACAACTGAAAAAAACACCTCCATTTGTATTATAGCCAGACCAGAAGAGCATACATTTAATTTGCAATACTAATTAGAATTTTCTAAGATGAAAATCTAAGACCTCCTGAAAGCATAGGCTTGGGAGTTTCTGAAGGTATTAAAAAAAACCAATAACATTTGTGTGATTCTTGAAATTCTAATGGTCCAAAAACAGATCAAGCCATTTCCAGTGCCCGATGGGCTATGTCAAATTGCTCTGAGGAAAGAGAACAAATATTGTTGGTGGTGCCACCATGGAACAAGTCTCGTTGGTTCTACAGATAGAAAGTTACTAAGGCCTGACCTGTCCGTTGTTCCCTAACATGGTGGGAAGGACTAAAGGAATGCACAGGACCCGAGGGAAGCCCAGATGAGAGCACTGAGCCCAGCCCAGCCCTGGAAGACAGGGTCAAGCAGGGCTTTTCACGGTGGTCACACTGACTGTGTTTCAGAGGGCAAGTAGGAAGTAATGAATCCAGCTATAATATAGCAGGATAAAAGGAAAATGGAAATTGAAGTGAGAAGAGCTATGTTTAAGAATTGATTATTGTTATGGGCTGAACATTTGTATCCCTCACTCATCAAATACATATGTTGAAGCCCTAACCACCAATGTGATGAGAACTTGAGAGGTAATGACTCCTTGGAGATGGGACCTTTGGGATGTGTTGAGAGTTACATTAGGTCTTGAGGCTGGGTACTGCGTGGTGGGATTTGCGGCTTTACAAGAAGAGGAAGCACCCACTGAGGAAGGGTCATGTGAGGATGCAGCAAGAAGGCGGCCATCTGCAAGCCTGGGAGAGAGCCCTCCCCAGCACCCAACCCTGCTGGCTCCCAGATCTCAAACTTCCAGCCCTCAGAACCGTGAAAAAACAAATGTGTGTTGTGTAAGCTGCCCAGGCCATGGTATTTTGTTACGGTTGCCTAAGAAGACTAATATAATTTTTCTCCCTTATTACCTGTGTAACCTTCTTAGAGAAAGTAACTTTACATTTCTAAAAGTGTTTCCAGTTTATAAAAGGGTGATGAGCATACCTAGTTTGCAGCATTGTTTAAAAGTTAAATGGGATACTATTTCTATTCTGGTCAGAGGAAACTGTGTGCCCATGACCTGGGGATGAGAGACTGAAGAACTGATAGTGGCGTAATTGCACCATCCTAAAGCAGACTTGTCTGCACTTGTATCATTTCTTAAATACAAATATTTCTCCCAATAACTGCATACATTTAATGTGGTAGTGTTTTCTTTCTTCTAGAAACCTGTTATTAAACATTATTGCCTCTTCAACAAAATGGGATCTTAGAATCTTCAACCAATGGGATCTTAGAATCAGGGAAATATTTGGTCATGGTTTTTCCTGGAACAAGGAGCAAAGAGAGACCAGGCTGTGGCAGGAGGGGGGCTGCAGAGGTAAACACAGGTCATAGTTCATGGAGGCAAGCAGGCTTGCAAAAGAGCAAGGACAGGATGGAGTATATACACTGGTGGCTGGGAAGACAGGCTGAAGGCTTGGGAATCTTATGGAGGCAGGAAAACACATGGTGCAAATAACTGGAGCAGGAGTCCAACAGGCCCAGTGCAGACAGAAAGTGGTCATTTGAACGTGAGAATTCTCACATGGAGGAGTTTTGGGGAATGCGTGGAACAAGCATAGCCAAGAGGGTGGCTGGCTGAAATGGAATCCAAGCAAAGGCCACTGGAGTAGAGGGAGCCAATAAAATACTGGCTGGAGTGTTGGGCCCATCTGTGCATTGGCCTTTGATGTTCTTCAAGATGACAGGATACAAGGTGCAGAAGGCTGCTGCCAAAGTCGCCACAGCTTCTTCTCCCGTGTGGCCAACATGGGTGAGAGGTACCACTGTCTACCCAGTGATCCAAGCTGGGAACCTGGGATTCATCCTCATTGTCTCCCTCCTTTTCACCCCTCCATCCAACGAAGGAGGCCACTCGTGGTGGTGACTTGTATAGCAGCTCTGCACCTCTCACCAAAGGAGAGGCCTCACTAGCACTGGCCGTGAGCTTGTGCGCTGAGGCCATGCAGGCCTTGCGGAGTCTTGGCTCTTCCTTTTGTAGCTTGATCAACGAGCATTGGGCTTCATCTGCCTCACTTGTAAGAGAGGATAATAATCATACCTGCCCCAGAGGTGGTTGTGGCAGATTATGAGATTATATGAACATGGCATTGTGTGTGAGTGTGGCTCAGCCTGGCATACAGGAAGTGCTCACTAAGTGCTAGTTGTTGATGAGGTGGTGTTAGTGGTGTTTTAGAATACAGGACCAAACACAGAAAAACCCAGTTCTTCTTTGGTGGTAACAGGAACAATGCATATCTCAAGTCAATATTAAGTGTAATAAGAGGAGAGTACAGGACTGAATATAAAGAACGGAGGGGGCTGGGCACGATGGCTCACGCCTGTAATCCCAACACTTTGGGAGGCTGAGGTGGGTGAATCACAAGGTCAAGAGATCGAGACCATCCTGGCCAACATGGTGAAACCTTGTCTGTACTAAAAATACAAAAAATAGCTGGGCATGGTGGCATGTGCCTGTAGTTCCAGCTACTTAGGAGGCTGAGGCAGGAGAATCGCTTAAACCCAGGAGCGGAAGTTGTAGTGAGCTAAGATCACGCCACCACATTCCAGCCTGGTGACAGAGCAAGACTCTGTCTAAAAAAAAAAAAAAAAGAATGGTCGGGATTGAGGACTGAACAGGCCCAGGGGACCTTTGGGAATTTGGGAATTCATGGGGGTGGGAACTGATGTTGGCCCAGATGGCAACCCTGACAGATGGGAACAGAAATGTTTGCCCAGCAGGGCAGCAGGATAGAATTCATGTGTCCTCTCGAAACCCTATCTCAGAAGGGAGGAGTGGGTAGTGGACCACCACCACTTCCCAGACTGAACAAGCAAAGGGGCCAGAGGCAGGGTGAAGCCCAGGGGTCTTTCAGGCTTCCTCAAACCAGCTCACGTGCAGGAGTCCTGGGAAAGCTGGAACTCGAAACACTAATGCCAGCGTCCACGAAGCATTGTAGGGACTGGTGAGATTAATGGGCTCTGTCCCACGAAGTCACCAGGGAATTCTCAGTGTCTACCAGCACTCACTTGGTGTTTGACATCCCGAATTTCCTCAGCTCCATCTTGTAAAATTTTCCACACATTCCTTTTCTGAAATTAGAACATGCCTTGTTGTGATTGTTTTCTTTGTCCCCAAAACTCTATGCATTCAATCCGTAGTGCTGCCATCAATGGCACCATAGGCTCAAGGAAACACAAAATGTGTCATGATAGTATTGATGAATGAAATGAGACATGCTGGTTAAACTTCTCATGTAACCTTATGGTATTTGACCTGTAAGTCACTTACTCTGATGCATGCTAGGAAAGGTAAATACTCTGACCAATGATACACAATGCAGCTCATTACCGAGGGAAACTCATGTTCAAATACATTGATTGGGAGGTTACACACAGTCAGGAAATTGGCTCATTGGAGGTGATCACAGCTGAGGTCCACACTGCCTGGCCAGCTGGAGTGGATGTCTCCCTGCTCCCAGCCCAGGGAGGCCTTCCAGTAAGCCTTTCTGAATATCTCCAAGTTCAGTGCTGAAAAGCTTTCCGCATTCATCCTGAAGCCTTGACAAATGTGCCTCTGCTTACTGAAGCTTCCAAAAGAAAAGGTTACATGAAATCTGAGTGGAATACAAATAGTTCTTCCTTCCAGGGACTTCATTCTCTGGGAGCTCATGCCAGAAAACGAACTTCCTCCATGACCGCTAGGGAGCTCCCATTGGTGTTTGGTGTTCTAATGGCTGGAGACATCCCCTAGGTTCCCTCTTTCAATTCATGTGATTGCATCTATATTTAATCAGTTTCCATCATGTTCCTGGAAAGGCATTTAGCCGGCTGCTAGCAGACTCCTCCCCCTGGTCCCCTGTACCCTGAAGTCAGTTGGCAGAGCCCTCCATTCAGCCCCAGGGCCCGGTCACCCTCCCTGCATTCTCTCCTGAACAAGCCTGGCTTTTCCTTGTGTGTTAACTCCTTGTTCTGAAGGGGCTTGCTATCTTCCAAAGCTTACCTACATAAAGTCACTTGTACCCTCTTCATGCATAGGCTGACCAAGCCAAATATTTAAAAAGAAAAAAAGTTCATAGAGGCTAGCCCCATTCAGGAAATAGAAGACCCTGGGTAGAAATAAAATGAAACACAATGCATCCTGGCTGAGTCTGCAAATGCGATTGTGTTGTAGCAGACAGATGCAGCCCCAAAGAGAAGGAAAATCAATTTTCATTAATGATTTTGAATGTGCTATTGGCCTTGGGTTAATTATTTATTTGCTTGAGGGTTTAGATTTATCTCATGGACATGCCAGATTATTTGAAAGGGTTTTAGTGCCTTTGACCTATGCTCAATGAATCCTTTTGACCCATATTTCATTTCACATGCAAAAAGAGTAGGCAGTATGTTGGTCATTTGTTTTCTAGTTTATTCATGATTTCAATCAACTGATAATTAATGAGGCTCTGTGCTGGACGCTATTCTAGGTTCTGGGAATAAAGCTATGAGCAGAGCACACAATGTTCCTACTTTCATGGAACTTAATATTCTAACAGTAGGAGAGACAGGTAAGCAACTAAAAAAAAATGAATGTTTCACCTTGATATGATGCAAGGAAATGGCACTTTACCTCTGTGCTCTATCTCCAGGAAACACACAGCTCCAGTGTAATCATGAAAAAATATCAGACAAATTCCAATAGAGGAGAAAATATTTGACCAGTACTTCTCAAAACCATCAAGGTCCTCAAAAACAAAGAAAGTTGGAGAAACTGTCACAGCCCAGAAGGTGCTAAGGAGCCAAGACAAGTACGTGTCATGTAGTATCCTGGATGGGATTCTGGAAGAGAAAAGGACATTGGGTAAAAACAAAGGAAATCTGAGTCAACTATGGACTTTCATTAAATTTTAAAAACCGAATGTGTCCGATAGTGATCAATGTGGTAAGGAAAGTAAGAAGAAGTCAGCTAAGGAGCAACAATGTTGGGGAGGGCTGTCTTGGCCAGGGAAGCCTCGCTGAGGACGGGACAGCTGAGGTGCAAGTTGAATGATGAGAAGGCACCAATCTGCCAAGCAGGAAACAGCATCTGAGGAATGGGAACACGTGGCAAAGGCCCTGAAGGAGGAATGAGCTGTTGTGTCCAAGAAACACACGGAAGTCTGGTGTGGACAGAATCTTGAAAGCAAGTGGGAGAATGGCACAAGACGGCACTGAAGAGGTAAACATGGACTAAATTGTGGATGATTTTCTAGGTCAGGCTAAGGAATTTAAATGTTATTCAAAGTCATTGGAGAGTTTTAAGCAGAGAAGTGGCATGATCTATCTTTGAAAAATATTTCTTCAGCTACTGTGCTCAGAATAGATTATATTACTGGTTGTCTGAGGCTGGAGAGAGGAAGAAATGAGAAGTGATCATTTACTGGATATGGGGTTTTGCAGGGGTGATGATCACATTCTAGAAGTCGGTAGTGGTGATGGTTGTGGAACACTGGCAATGTGCTAATAAGCACTGAATTATACACCTTAAAGTGATTTAAATGATAAATTTTATCTTATGTAAATGTTGTCTTAATTTAGATTAAGAATAGACTGTGGAAGTTCAGGTAAGCATGAAGGCAGGTAGTTTAGCTGTGAGGCTATTGCTTGGTGCAGGAGAGAATGATGGTGGCTTGGATTTGGGCGACAGCAGCAGGGATGGGAAGAAGTATTTGGATTCAGAGATATTTTGAAAGTAGAGCTGATAGGATTACTTTAGAGTTGAGGTAAAGAGAGGAAGTTATTGAGGGAAGTTAAGGGTGATGTTGGGACCACAAAAGAGACTTATCTTTTCCTAGTTTACTTTAAGGCATTTTAATGTGGATTTTAAACGCTGTGTATTAGTACACTTTGGGCTGTAAATAATACAGAGCCCAACTCAAGCTGGCTTAAATAGTTGGAAATTTGTGATCTAGAACAGGAATCAATCTGGCAGTGGGCCTGGGCTTTATGCTGGAGCAATCAGGAGCTTCACATGTCACCAAGGACCCAGGTTTGTGACATCCTCCCACTAGGCATCCCTCAGTTTTGCCCTGACAACATGGTCTATCTTCATGGTTTCAAGATGGCAACAGCAGTTCTAGGTGTCACACACAAACAAAGCAATGAAGAAATGGCGTCCCATCCAATGTACCTCTCTTAGAAGTGAAGAAAGTAGAAGATCCAGATAACTTCTTAGCATGTTACATGTCTGTTTCTAAACCAATAATCAGCATGGGAAATGGGTTTACCATGATTGGCTTAAACTACCCAGAATTCATTCCCTATAGCGAGGATGAGTTTCAGTTTTCCCTGAAGTACACAGCAATGGGAGGAAGATCAGAGTTTCCATTAAGAAGGGTAGGGATTGGATGCATGTTGGATAGGCGACTAACTGTATGTACTCCATGGTGATGAACTAAACATTTTTTTGCTCCAAATATTTGTTCATTATAAATAGGGAGGAGGTTCAGAGAATATAAGATATATTATTAGATCTCCAGAATTTTGTCTGAGGGACTTTACAATTTTAAATATTCGTTAGAATTAAGGACAATTTGGTGACATGTGTCCATAGTTCCAGCTACTTGGGAGGCAGAAGTGAGAAGATTGATTGCTTGAGTCCAAGAGTTCAAGATCATCCTGGGCAACACAGTGAAACCACATCTCTTAAAAAAAAAAAAAGAAAAGAAACTAGAGAAAACACATTTTGAATATCACTGAACATTTTATAAGACCTTGAAGTGCCAAGGACCTGAAGTTCCTAGAAAGATTTAATAGAACAAGGAAAAAGTGGAAAATCAAGAATGGTGTTCAATAATAGCTACCATCATTACACATTTCCTATGTGTCCAACACTTTTCTACTTAACATAAATTATATCATTTAATTCCCACGATACCTTATAATGAGGTCTTATTACAGCATCTTTACTTTACAAGTGAGGAAATGGAGGTTTAGAAAGTTTAAGGCAAATTGCCAATGTCACAGACAGTAGAGCCAGGACTTGAACCCAGACAGCCTGGCTCCAAAGCATGCACGCCTAATCTCTATGCTTCCTACACACTGCGTTCAATCTAGACTGGAAAGTTTAAACTTTATAGAAACATTTCTCAAATCAGAAACTCCCCCTTTTGAGAAAACAAAAATGTCCTGCTATCCTCAAAGAGATTTTGACTTTGATTACTTATCTTTATGTATGAAATCAACAGGCATGTTCTTTCCGTTTTCATGTATACAATTGCATCATGAAATTGACTTACATTTTCAAACTTTCTCCCTTTCCCAGAGATTCTGATATACCTAGTCCCCAAAGTAAGCCATCTTCTGGAGTTCAAATCACTCTTCTGGAGCATTTAGAGGGATGCAGGGATTGAGGTTCCGGTGGAATTCTCATCCTGATGGAGTTCTGGCTCCAGTGACCTGTACTGGCTGCCTGCATAGTACCAATTCAAGCTAGATCGTTGCTCAACTTTGCACGTAACTTTAGCTGAAAAGATCTGGTTTTGGGGTCAATGACCTACCCGAGCTGACTTTTCATTGTATAAGGGAGGTCACGCCAGTAAGATTCTCATTTGTTAAGAGGGAAAAACACATAATATTTAACATTCCCTCCAAATAAATGGACCGACTATGGGTCAACTACGACTGGGAAATAGAAAATTACCCCCAAAGCATAGAAAATACATTTTTATTTTCTGTAAGACGACAGGAGAGATGGAAAGAGTACTTTTGCTTTCTCCTTCTCTCTCTTTTTGCATAATTATTTCTTCAGGGCAAGGAGCACATTGCTAATAGTCAGCACTTGTGTGGAGTTGAATCATAAATACAGTAGATAAGACATGCAGTATTAGATTGGCCAGTTTCCCCCACTCAGTGTAGAGGCACCGCATGTACCCA